AGTCCCTGCTCCCATGGTCTGTATTTTGCCCTTACGCTCCACGGGAGGATTCCTTCCTCCCTGAGCTCATCGTAGGAGACTTGTGTTATGCTTTGAAGAGGTGTAACCCCTACTAATAAAACTGTAAAATACACTTCAGACCTTACCAGTGCAACAACATGGAGGAGTCAATATTATTTTAGCTTTGACTATTTTGTTCTTAATACAGGAATCAATTTATCTATCAGTGAAATGATTTGGAGGCAAAACACTGATTTATTTGTGCTTTCCTTTAGTAGTAAACTGTTTTTCAATCAAAGACCTAGCTGAACTTTATGATCACTGTGAATGCAATTTCTCAAAAGGAAAAGCATTTGTTAGCAGATAATGATCATGGCATAAGGAACTGGTGGGTGAACTATTCATGTATAATAAAATAAATAAGACCTGAATGCCAAAGGCTTTTGCTGTGCTAAAATTGACAGGCAGTGAATTAGATTTAATCCTAGACATTTTAGTAGGTTGTACTACCTAGATTAGAAATGATTAGGTTATAAATGAAATACTATAACAGCAAAACAAACACAAGAAAGTTTAACTAAGAGTAACAGGTCATTACATTTAAAAAGCAGGTTCTCTGATTCATAGGCCAGACCAAGAGCTGGTCTCACAAAGACTTCTTCCACCTCTGTAAGCAGCAGTATATCATCTCAGCATCCGAACTGGTTGCTCTGGTTTCAGTAGCCTCGATTTTATATCCATTAAAAAGAAATTTTTCTTAAAGTTCCATAAATGTTTGCAAAACAACAGCAGTGGCAGTCCTGGCATATGACACAGCACACGCTAGAGACAACCCGTGCAATATACTCGAGGGAACATTTAGTTATGGTGCTCTGTAGAATGTCTTTCATTTTTTTTCAGGCACGCTGGTCGTGAGCACACTAGAGATGCTTATGAATAAATAGGAAAAGATAATACTGCCATTCATTCTGAAAGAAGAAGTGACTTTCTTCAGCCTTCTCTAAATGTTTAAGGTCACATTTTATTTTCGCTGTTAAATGTATCTATTTTCAGAACCCAACTGTTTTCTTTCCAAAGATGAAACAAAATCAATTTGTTTGTCTCAGGCTTCTGGCTCTGTAAATTTAGTCAAACAACTACTGTGGCAAGCAGGGGCCAAAGCATGGGAGAGCAGATGAGGACCCAATTTATGAGCCACGTGTTTTCTCTTCTTTTTTTTTTTCTTAGGTCAAATTGGCACCTTTAAAGAATTGTGTCCAGCGATGGAACACATTCATAAAGCCAAATTAAATTCCATTGCAAACACAAAACTCTTTTCAAATCCATGTTTCAAGCTCAACAGAGTGCCACAAGCAAGGAAAAATTATAAGCACAAATTGTGTACTGGAGATAAATTACCCGTCCCTCCTCAGACCATTCCCTCAAACATTATGAAGCATGATACTATGAAAGGAAAACCTCTGAAAAAGCCTCAAACTAGTTACTCAGTATCACTACACAGACTCTGAGGCATGAGACTGCAACCTAATTAGTGGTGTGGCTTGCATCTGTATAACTGAATTAGCATGACTGCTCTTTTTCATTATTAGTTCCCTCTCCCAGAAAGGTAGAATATTATCTGCTGCATTGTTTTCATTTACGCTTATTGATACTGAATTTAATTATGTTTTTCTAGCTCATACTACTTAGGAAATTGGAAACTGCCTGCTCAAAATTAAAAATATATTAGAGAAATTAATGATCAGCTTACTCATCAGTGAACTGGTTCAGATGGTGTCTCTTTGGCCATTAAACAAAGCCAATCAGCCACCAGCTACATGAAATTTCTATCAATGTGTACGTATGATATGAACCAAGAAAATATGCTTATTGCAATTTCACATGCAAAAGGTACATATTTTTTTAGAGTGGCAGATTTTGGACCCTTTAGTCACAATGACCTCACCAACAATGTCAAGTCCCTCATCCAGCAGCCACAGTGATAAAGACCAAATTACCCGATTCAGCAAAGACTGAGGTATGAACTTTATAGAGGTGAGGAATCCCCCGAAGCCAACGGGACCAGCCAGGCATGAGACACAGCACATAAATACACCTTGGCAGGATAAAGGCATACCTGTAGACTACATGCACTCATCAGCAAATGACAGGGTTGTGAACGGTTTATATACGCGGCACTTTTCACAGCTCCTGATCTCACAGTGGCCCTTGGCATGGAGAGGGATGAAGAACAAGTTTCCACTGCAAGCTCGAACAACAGGCAGCCTTGAACTCAAGGGAGAACTACACACTCAGGAAAGTTGAAAAACAAACCCCAAACCTTTGTAATCAGCACTCCTCAAGTCTAACCCTAACGTCTAACCAGCCCTACCCAAGATTTGCCCGTTTAACAAAAAGCAGGAACACACGTCAACCTGCCTTGAGCACTCATTCTCCTGAATGAGCTTTAAAATCCTGTGATCCCACATACTAAAATATTAACTTACATCTGATGAAGCTGATTCAAGGATAATTCCAAATCCTGAAACAGGGGTTTCTGGTTTTAGGGGGGTTTCAACTGCTGGCAGACTCGATCGCTCTGAGTTTGCTGATAGTTTCTTTTCGTTCTCTGCAGGGTTGAGTTTCTTATTCATGGTAATTGGTTCAACAGTTTTGAGGGGCAGTTTTTTCTTTTTATTTCTCTTTCTTGATATTGTTGACTTCTGTGCACAGATCAGAGGAGCAGGAGGCTGCTGTCTGTTTTGAGTCCCAACTGAATGAAAGAAAGCAATGAATTAAATTTATAGGCAAAAGCACACGTATAACCACACAGATGCATCATTAAACTACTGACATACTGAACTTATCGTCTGGATATGTGGTATGGTTTTCAGGGCTATTTGTGCATGTGAAACAGTTACATTTTATCACCTTTGCATAATTTTCCAATCTGTACAATGGGGATAATGACTCTGAGCTCCACTGTGAGGTTTTCCAAGACACACTGATGAATAGCGCTTCAGGAAAACTAGGAATACGTGGTTCTTTTTCCTAGTGACCAGTGGATGGTTGGTGACACGAAGGACTTAAGCAATGATTAATTTGTATACCCTCCTGAATGACTGAGGAACTCACTGTCTTCGAACATCTTTTCCTGATAAAGTCAGATAATACAAGTGCTAATGCAATTACAGTTATTTTTCCCAATGCAGTTACCAAGTTAATTAGCTCAGCAAGAACATTTCAAGTACCATTATGTCAAGAACAAGTGAAAACACTATTAAATAGTTTAATTTCTGGGGGAAAAAAGTAACCCAAAATTGCAACAGTTTGTTTCACTCATGCACAGGAACTGACAGGTCATGTGTTACCTCTGAAATCTAAGAGACCGTAATTTGTATTTATGGATTTTTTGCATTTTCCAGTATCCACAATCATTTGTACAAATGAAGGCACCAATCCTGAACCAGTCTCAATGCAAACAAGTCCTCCATCAGAATGCTTTGCAGATACAATTATGTATCTGGATGAATTGGGAAGATGGAGGTCAAACCAAAAATGGCCAAAAGCGCTACACATGCAACTCAAACTCACTTGAGCTACGAGTGAACTACAAATAGTTCTCATGTATAAAGCTTGAGGAGAAACCCAAACCTTGGAATACTGTTTACTAAAAGATTTCTGGGATATTTCATTTCTGGCAAGGATTTACAAGACTGTCATTTGTAGTTTATCATTTAGACAGAAGGGTGTTTGAATACTAAAATAAGTGATTACACTTTTACTTAGATGTTTGCATTTTAGGGTTTTTGCTTTTAGCAACAAAAGTGCCAAACAGTGTTTTTCTCTCTGCAAAACCATCGTTTCGTGCCTACTAGAAAATATGAATTACTCCCAGAGAACAGAGATCTGCTAATTAACAAGGTACTTCCACTCTAGATACATAATAAATAAGAAATGTTGCTGCTATTGAGGAGGCAGCTCTCCTGGCATAACCCCTAGAGTTCTGTACCTCTCACCCCCAAGCTATTTTTAATCATGCACATACTTTCAATGAAATCAGTGCAACTGTGTAAAGAATTCCTTGTCCCAGCAAAGATTGCAAAACATGTGCTTTTTTGCAAATCAGTGACTTTTAGAAAGGCATTTTTATGCGTGTCAACTGGTATTACAAAACCTGTCTGATCCTTCCTGTCACTCACTGAAACACTATACGCCGTGTAGACAAGGAGTTTAGTCAGCCCTTCACTCCACCCATCTTCAGTTAATTACTCAACACTCCCTTTTCTTAGAGGTCTTATCCAGCACTCCAAGAGAGAAACCTCCATGGCTTCACTCCCCATCACTCACACTGGAAATCTCCAATGTCTCCAACTCCTCATCAGTATTAACATTAAGGTTTGGGAAGCCTGTGATGACCTACCTAACTCCTAGCTGCCATGGTCTTGTCATCTTGCTGGCTCTAGTGCTCTTCTGCGCTGGTCTGTTTCAGCTCCTAACCTAGCAGAAAACTAGACTCAATAGTTTTCCTCAACGAACAGATTATTGCTGGTTCAGCCAGTAGAAGGAACTGGTAAACCAGCCTGAAGAAGGGTGGAGGCCACAACATGCAGCAGCTAGCTCAGTTGAGGCTACCACAGAGCTGTAACTTGGAAGATCTTTGAAGTGTTATACAATAACTTTAAGTGGCCTTCCAATTTTTTTCCCTTACCCCTAAGATTAATGAACTGGTAAGCAGCTAACAGGTGAAGTAGCATTTTGCATGAATACATGTGAATACACTGTGAGAACAAATTTGGGATAGTTGTAGCATACTGACCTACCCACTCAGCTCCCACTAGGAATAAATTTATTCCCATTAGGAATAAATCACATCAGATATTTTTTTATTTTATTTGAGCCTTAAAAGAATTCCTACAATATAATATCCCACATTACAGGTAAGAATCTGAGAAGTAAAAATGACATTTCCAAGAAGTCTGTGAAAATTTGACTTTGAACAATGCGTCCAGAGTGCTCAGGTTTTCCTGAGTTCCCACATAAATCTCTGTCTTCCTAGACCATTCCTCCTAACAAGAAGATCATAGAATCATAGAATAGTTTGGGTTGGAAGGGACCTCTAAAGATCATCTAGTCCAAGCCCCTTGCAATGAGCAGGGTCATCTTCATTTGAGATGCTTGTCATGGATAGGCACGTATGGGTCCGGTCATTGTACCTGCTTGAATCTGCATCAATTTTCGCATGGTCTTGAGCTCCTGAAGGATAGCCTGTAGGGTTGACTGGCAATTACATGTACAGCAGTTTGGTCCAATTGATGAATTCATCATTGGGATTTCTCCTGAAAGAGAGAGGAATGAAACGGGGAGAGAGGATGTAACCCACAAAACCAACCCAAACAACGATTATGAGCAGGCATTTGAAACTATTATCAATGCAGCAGATCATTAAATTAGATCCAAGGCAAGAAGGAAATGATTTTCAACATGGTCCCTTTCAAGAGGAAGGGACCACTAGTTTTTATCCAATTACTAATACGTGCAATTATATACAGTAGGGAATGCAATGTTACATGGGCTGGAGAAGACTGAGCGTGAATACAATGCACTCGTCACAGCAGGGCTCTCTATTGTCAGGCTAGTTCATCTTGAATAACAGTAGCACCAAACCTCATTATAAACATATTCACTTTATCACACACACACAAAAAAGCCCATCTCCTGGAACAGTCTTACAAAGAATGAAGACAGACGGCGTAATAAAGGTTTATGCTGTACATTAAATGAGGGCCTAAGAATTTTAAACTGCTTGAATGTTACATGTGATATTTTACCATGTGAAGAATTGAGAATGAAAATGAAACACCCTATTCCAAGGGAAAAAAAACCCCACAAAAAACCCCAAACAACTCCCTCCCCCCAAAACAAACAGGATGGAAAAGAACCACCAGCAAGGAAAGCTTTCAAATCTGCTCTTCTGCTTCCCAGGGTGGGATTGTTTTCTAGGTCATGTTTTCCAGAACTGTGACCTACAAGATAGGCTTTCCATAGTTTCACTTTGAAAATGAATATATTCAACAGGTTCTTCTTTTCTAGTAATTCTTACAGTGTTTATCTGAATTTACATACCTCTAGTTCTAGCCCTCAGCAGTGCTTTTATTACTGCCTTACTTTCCAGAAGCTTTGCACTGTAGGTCCTGAATGAGGACAGGCTGTAACAGCTGAGAGCTTTCAAGTTTTACCTGAATAGTTGTATCCTGCACTTCAGTTTAGAATAGTTATGTCCCCAGCTTTAATGCTGTAAATAAAAATTCAAGATTCAACAGAACATCTAACTGTATCTGCTCGAATCTGAGCCAGTTGGGATGCACCCCCCTTCATTTCAAAATGTGCTTACAGTCATTTAAATTGATGGCTATTTTACTGCTCATCAAAGCATGCAGAGGAGGGATGATCATTTTATGAAGATAGGTACAGATGAATCTAACAAAAATCATCTTCCTTGGTGTCACATGTGGTGGACTTCAGAGTGTATTTCCCTCTTCCTCCCATAGCCTGACACTTATCAAGTACCCTTTAATCATTACCTAGCTAAATTTAATACCAGGCAACTCATTTAATCTTCATTCATAAATCCTCACATTTTTCATTACTACCTTTGCTTTCCTCTGAAGCCAAACCAGTTTATTAATACCTTTTTAGGTCTGGTCTGTGTTCTTTCTGATATCACACCCACACAGATCCCCTGACTTCAAACCCCATTTGAAATGGATGAAATATGGCCAGTGCTAAATTGCTCTGTTTCTTTCCCAGTTCTTCCAATGTGTCCCTCCATCCTCTAATCTCCCTTCCCAGGCACTTGTTCTCCATCTCATTCCATTCAGTCCTTCAGCTTTGAAGCAACATCTATCAGACTTGAGCAAACTGGTGGTCGTTCTCCCAAAAGTAAGCTCCTTGCGAAGGACCACTTAAAGACTGTTGGTATCTTCTGGGTGTTTCCTCCTTTCCTGAGAGATTTAGATTGTCCACACTACTTCAGTTACACATTTTGGTATTTTAAAATAGCACCCATGGACAAAACCTGTAAATGCTGCATTAAGATAAATGGAGGAGTTTAAGAGTCTCTGCAAGCCTAGCAAATATGAATACAATAGTTCCACCGGTGGCTTCTCACCAGGGTTTCAGCTGTAAATAAAACAACTTTTTCAAAGTAAAAAGTGATCTAGAAAACAGGCTGAGTCTCAAATTAAAACAAAAAGAGGTTACTGACTCAGCAGGACTCTGCCTTGTTTGATCTCACCCTTCTTTTGTGCACTGTCTATTCACTCTAAGTTCCTTGGGGCATGGATGGGATTTTATCTTTTCAATGGTCCATAAAGTGTTCAGCCTATTGTTACAGGTACAGAGGGAAAAAAAAATGTATGTTATCTTTAGCTTTGCAGCAGATTACTCAGAATCCCTCAACTTGACTCCACCAACACCCTTTACCTTAAAGGGTAAGGCAGACTTCAAGGGTTAAAGGGTAGACTTTAAGGTAGAGGTTAAGGGTGTTAAAGGTAGACTTGTAAGTAGATGAGGTTCAAGACTACTTAGAATTTAACAGCATCAGCATAACCCTGTACCTTTCAGTAAGACAAGCAGGTACCCCAGAAATGGGGTCCTAGGAAATTAGGAGAGTTTTATTAATAGAAGACAAATACATAGTAACATACACAGCCTTTCTCCAGCGCTTTCTCAGTTGGGTTAGACTACTAAGCTCCTCAGGATAAAGCTTGTTCTCTCTCTTGATCAGAATCCAGTACTCTAGAGGGCTTTTGGAAATACTGTCTGAAAGACTACAGCAGGAGACAGGGCTGCTGGGCTTCTCTTTCCTTCTAAATGAAGACTCCACATCGTGGTGAATTGCACGTGAAAACTCAGACAAGTTATATCAGTAAACACCTGTACATCTTTCCTGTCACAATATAACATGTTCCTAATGAAAGTACGCAGGTACACAGGCTCCTGATGGAAAACCAAAGGGTCTAATTTCCCACTGAGGCATAGAGGATTTACAGTATAATCCCCATTAGCATTGATAGAAATTACCCATGTAAATCTACCATAGGCACTGGAAATGGGAAAAGAGACCACCAATATTGCATATCAAAGCAGGGTTCTACTGACTTCATACATATTCATGAGGGTTTTTTATTTTCTTTCTATCCTCCCTCCTCTGATCAGTTATTGTGTTATAAGAAACATCTTGTGGAGTGTTCTCAGTCATTGTTCCAAGCACTATCTTTATCATTTTTAGAGGACAAAAGCAACCCTTTTCAACTTGTTATAAATCATTTTTTAATTTTAAAAGGAGAACAGACTTTTTATTTTTATGAAGGAGTCTTTAAAGAGCCATCTCCCTCTCTTTGGAAGCTAGCCAGCAGGCAAATTTGATACTGGCTTGTATGATTGAGAGAAGGAGATGACACAAATGCAGTAGTTGCTTCCCCAGTGTGAGCAGCAAGTAGCCCAGGACAGTGGTTCTTACAGCTGGGTCTGCTGAGAGTGAGTTTACCTGGTGTAACATTGCTACCATGAGTTTGTATTTGAAAAGCATGCAAGCACAATGCATTGAAGTGATCCTGAAGTAACTAAAATGCAATTCAGCGGCTGTGTCACCACCAGATTTGTTAAAGAACACAAACTCAAATGCTGTAGACAGACTCTGTGAGTTCGTTGTCTCTCAACAGGGCAGACATGCTACTCACTGGTAGTAGCTCCAAGGGGCTTCCACTAAACGCAGAAGGTCACAGGCTTCTAAGTGACGACTTGTGGAATGACTGCCTTAAATCTGGTTTGGAATAAACCACTTGGCTTTTCAAGTATGTTCCTACTCTTCCCTCTGTTGCAGCAATGCCCAGGCTCCCCCATTCCTCCTTTTCCCTCTCTGTCTATTTTTGGCAATACGTTTTCCACAACTGCTTTCTATACCAGCACCTATTAGACATCCATTCCAGTCTCTCCTTGAACCACCTTTACCATGTGTGGAGGTAACTAGTTAGATGGACTTGGCATGCTTATTACAATCAAATTTGAGTAATTCAGACAGCCTAAACTATGTATCTTGGCTTCCTATACGGTATCTATCCACAATGGACAGAAACAGTTTCTGGACTCAGACTGCCTGCTAATGCCTGGACATCCCCCAGTGATGACTTAGACTTGACAGCCCCAGGTAGTAAGCTTACATCCCACCTGAACAGTTTTGCTCTGATGAGTTTAAACACTGTGGTAAGTACCAAGGAATAGAGATAGAACCTTAGAATCTTCCTCGAGATACTGTTCAGCACTTCTACACCCAGTTTTTAAGGACTTTGTCCATCCTCTGAATAACATCTAAAATACTGAGTTAGGTGTTCAGGCTCCCAGTGCACCGGATGGGGGGAACCAGGCATGTTACAATGGCCACCCAGAAGAGCTGTGTGCTGGGGTGAGGAGCAGTTTCAGAGCTTGCTCATGGCCCAGAAACACATCAAAAGTTTTCCTTTCCTAGAGACCAGGCTTCGGAGCCAAAGCAGCAGAAATGCCTGGCAGGATCACAACACCCCACTGGAGGCAGACACCTCTAACCAAAGAGCCTCACAGATCATCTTTCCAAAGGTGGCCAGCAGAGAGGGCTCACACCCATCTTTATGTAATAACCTAAAAGATTGCATTCCTTTCTGCAGCAGGACAGCTGCAGGGGGAGGGGTGGAACGTGTCTCCTGGTGCACTTCCCCAGGAGCTGGGAGCCTGGGCATTCCTCCTCTGCAGCCCAGGAGGTCACTCAACCCAACTCTTCCCCTGTCTCGCAAACCATTCTAACCTGTAAGAGATCATAGATCAGCCAAACCCTTCCTCCTCGTATGAAAAATCAAAGCGCTGACATTTTCTTCCCTATGTGGCCAAATCCTGTCAACATGTTTTAGCTCACATGCTGAATCAGGCCCCTGAGGGGATAGAGGTGCTGCTCCACCTACTTTCTGGATCTGGGAACTAGGCATGTGCAGGCTTGGGCACTTCTGTGCATGCAGAGAACTGTCCCTGCCAGTGCCCAGGGACTCTCAGGACAGAGAGAGAGATGCGTGATGACTTTTGGGTCCTTCCACATTTAGAACGTTGTTATGGTGGGATTTTGGAAGCACAGCTTTTTATTCTGGCAGTAAAACCTCCATTCTCTGGAACTTCAAAGAAGAGAAAAGCATTTTAAGGCCACACTACCACCTAATTTAGGGCAAAATACTCTGCCAGCAGAAGATGGACCACGTTCTAGCACACGCTGTTCATAGGTAGGCTCCATCATCCCTTTTCTCCAATAGTCCCATCGGAATAAAAGCCTAAGGCTGTGATGGGATTTTGTACCTGTTATAAGGCCGATGCCATCCCCTCCTGAAAGTCAGTAGAATCCTGCTCCACAAGTGGTGTCACAACAGCACTACATTACTCATTGCAAAGAGGAGTGGTAGAGGTTGACATTTAATTAGCTATGAATATAATAACAATGGCAAAAGCTGTTTTAGTAAATACTGTATCGAAATTAAGCCTGTAACAGCATTGAGTAATTGGGTCCTATCACCAGGAATCCATTTTAAAAGCTAAGACAGATGGTAGCAGAATGCACCGTGCCCACTTTCGCACCTTTTCAAAGTGATAACTATGTGCTCATTTTTTAGACTCTGAACTACAAAACTGCTTTCAGTGCACTGGTACAATATATCATCACAACAAAGGCAGAAATTTAGTACAGTACAAGGAGAGAGAGAGGCAAAAACAGTAGTATTCTCAGTAAGGCAGATCATACCATTGGATGCCACGGTTCGTGTCTGATTTTGGAACGTTTTGGATCGAGTTCCGTATTGCCCTGAAAAATGGCTGGCTTGGGGTGATAATTCATTCCATGCACCGCTCTGTGAAGGATGAAGGCTCGCCTGGGACTCCACAGGGGGATTCAGGCGCTGGGCCCAGGCTAAGTCTAAATCTTGGGGCTCCTCCTTTAGTTTTTCTCCTTCTTTGCCAACTCGCTGATAGATTCTTCCAGTGCTGTCATTCAGTAATCTTCTCATCCCTGTAATTTGTTTTTTAATTTCCCGGCTTTCATCTCCTAATGAAAACAGAGCCACAGTTATCACTGTAAATTAGCAAAAAGGGTAATGGGTAGAGATTAGGGATTTTAGATGCCAATAAGAGTTGGAGTATAAAAATAAATAAAGATGAGAAAGAAAAAGAGATGGTTGGGCGGTTGCTGGTGTGTACCAGGCTACGCTTTAACACAGCGATGGTTGACATCTCCCATGGTTGAAAGACCTGCTATTTCTTGATGCTGTTTCTAAAGCTTTGATGAGTAAGATTATTTTTTCTGCAGAAGGAAATAATAATAGCTACTGCAATTTCAAATAAACCATCCTTTTAAGAGACTGATCCTATTCAGGCGTTGACACCAGTGGCTATTTTCCTCCAAGTAAAGCCTAAAGGATCAGATCTTTTATCTATCAGTTTGCTAGATGCAGAAGGTTAGATCCTACAAAGGGAAAATAAACCATAAAAAGCACCATACCACACAAACACACAGAACAACACTGCATCTATTGATTTTAATGAGCAGGATCAGTTCCATAGTCCAAAGAATTTAATAATACTGGATTATATAGGAATAATTGAAAAGGCAGCTAATGCACATATAACCAGATATAGCCTAACTGCTGGAGGTCTTTAAACTGTAGATTATGAAAACAAAATGAAAATTTATAGAAGAAAAATGTGCCTGTTCCAAGTATATTCAGGGCATTTAAATAATAACAATTACATACTTTAATACTCCTGGCACCATTTAAGTATTAATTTTACATATGAAACTGCTGATTGCACAATGAATATATGTGTTCTGGGCAGATAGTAGCTATTTTGCTCATTAAAGCATACATTATATCTCACTAGTAAAAAGGAAGTGTTCACAGCCCCTTCTGAAATAGGAAGCTTCTATTTTTTTACTGGTAATAGAAAAATCAAACATCCTAAGTAAATAAGTGGAAGAAATTGATGAATCAACCTTTCTTTATCATACACTTCACAAGTAATACTTGCTATCCTCTACTGAGTTTACTTTTGGACGTCCCAAAGTAAACGTATTTTTGGCAAAGCAATAGTGTGAAGGAAACTTCAGAAGGAAAAACCAACCATCCAAAACCCAAGATGCAAAGTGCATCACAGACTCACAGAATGGTTTGGGTTGGAAGAGACATTAAAGTTCATCTAGTTCCAACCCCCTGCCACAGGAATGGTTGGGGTTGAAAAGGATCTTAAAGCTCATCTCCCCCCCCCCCCCTGCCACAGGCAGGGGCACTTTCTACTACAGCAGGTTGCTCCAAGGCGTGCCCGACTCTAGTTTAACCCGTGGTCTCTGGTTTAACAAGATATTTGACAGTGTGCTAACGCCAGGCATGTGAACAGTTTTGTCAACTCAACAGCACTATTCAGTTGCCTAAACTTAGGTACACGCTTAAGTAGCTGGCTAAACCAGACAGCTAAAGAGCAGCAACCCCCTCCACAACACAGGCCAAGCTCCATGTGGCAGGGAATTGCTGTGCAAGCCCAGTATACCCAGGGAGGCACCTGAAAGAGGGAGGTTTTGCTGTAGGAGGTGAAGCAGCAGAAGGGGAGACAAGCTGTACAATCTGCTCCAGCCTCTGCTGAATCAGAGCATCTCCCGCCTGACCCAGTGCACTGGTTCCCTGGGCCAGCGCCAGCTGGCTCCAGCCCACCCTGATCCAGCGAGGAGAGTGGGTGGTTTGCAAGAAAGCTTCTAGTCCAAACTTAGAGAAATATGTGTGAACCCCATACACGATACTCCAGCACTGCCTCTACTCCAGCTACAGCAGCGAGAAAACCCCTTTGCAAGGAAGTTCTGCACTGTGTTTATTTTGTCGGTTTGCCTGTGGATTTGTGTGTGGGTGTGATTTAATTAACAAATCACAGCACCAACTCCTTTAAAATGACACTTTTTGGCCCCAGCCCAACTACGGGTTGACTGTTTGCAGTTCCCAACCTCAAGAGGCCACAGAGTACCACCAGACTCCAATTATTGAGATACTTTACACTGCCTTTCCCCTGTACGTGGCTGTATCTGCCCATATCCATGCTCCAAATGCTCCTGCTACAGCAAAGCACGAAGCAATCCCTCGCCATCACATCATTTAGTAGTACACCAAGTTTTATGCTGGCAATTTAGATTTGCATTCAACAGCAAAATGTATTTGAATATCAACCAAGCTTCCCTCCCACCTCCTCCTGTTGGGTGTAGTGACTGTGTGCTACGTAGCTGGTCGGGTGACACGTTGTTGGAAAGATTAAATTTCCCTTTCCCAATTACATAAAATATTAATGTTAATTGAGCTTATTCAGCCTTGATTCTGCTCCCTTGTTCCTCCATATAAAAGTCTTCCTACTCAATGAGCATGCTTACCTCCAAATAGAAAAAAAACCCTACATTTATGTCACAACGAACCCTGAGCTTGCATCCTACATAAGCACGTTTTTCTGTTCAGGTAGCTCCCTACTTAAAACAGGAAAATTCCCCCTTTGTGAATTTATTTATTGGGGTGGTTTTTGCTGTGGTTTTTGTTTTTAGGGATTTTTCTGTTTGGGGTTTTTGGTGGTGGTGGTTTTTTTGTTTGTTTTGTTTGAGTTTTGGGGCTTGTTTTGGGTTTTTTAAATGTCTTCTGTTTTGTAAGGAAGGGCATGAAAAACACACAGGCTGTAACTTTGACTTAGTCTCCAGTGCAAGTTTACAATCCCCTTCTCCCAGTTATGACTTTTAATCTGTAACTGGCCAGTGACAGCAGCATCCTTCCCAACTCTGTTTAAATCTGCAGGTAGGTAGCTAGCAGTAACAGATTTAAAGTCATGCCCCCCGGTTATCTCATTTGGCTATTAGTTCTAAAGCCCAATGATAGCATTTTGTTATCAGCTATCCCACTGCTGATGATTTTCACACATAACAACCATGTAATTTTGAAAAAACTAAATAAAAACAGGAAGATGGGGCACAGAGAAAACCAAACAGCTCAAGATACTGTGTCATATGGAGGAGGTGGCCCTCCTGTTTAAATGCTGAATGGGATAATCATATAGTTTAATGCACAAAAATCTGCATTACCTACCTCTAAAAACCCTCCTGAGATGGATGTTGAGGGCTGAGAGGAGTAGTGCCTACTTCAGCTTCTCCCTGTGCCCCTCTACCTATGCCAGGGCTTCTCACTGCTCCCAAGGGAACGGGGATGCCTCCAAAGGACAGGCTACATGATTTGCCCTTTGGATTCCCCATATAATCCCTTTCGTTTTATCTGAAACCAATGAAGTTACTTGCAAAACACTAAAAGACTTAAAAAATACCACTCAAAATAGATAAGCATGGCAAATGACAGCCCTATTTAGGAATTTATATGTAAAGATGAAAATAGTCGTAACAAAACCATATTAACCATGTTTTAAAATGACTGTTACAGTTGTTTCTATAATGGTCGCTTATATACAAACTGTTTTTTCCACATGGCCTGACTGTAATCTTCTAAAACAAATAAAAGCAAAACAAAGCCCTTTCATAAATACTACATTAAATCCTCATAAAAAGCCATTTCCCCAAAATTCATTTCAATCTCTTTCCTTACTGAACAGGATAAAAACTTCCAGCTTTGGAAGTTGTAAAAATGTTTAAAGTTACAAGTGCACAACTGTAAATCAGAACTGCCCTAGGATGGAGTAGCATCCACATGCTAAGCGTGCACCAGTCTTGAAGCAACAGGCCTATAAACAACTCCAGTGAAAAACTATTCTTGATAATTCATTAGTTCCATTCTTTGCCCCTATCTGCCTGGCCATATTTTCACTATCATGCTTATTAAGCTTGATACAAATGAAGCACACTGCCTGAAAACAAGTTGCTCTACTTTAGCCAAATAATCTGTCAAAAGTTATCACAGTGCTACAAGGAATTAAGAGAATTATATGCAACCATACCAATATGTTAAATACTAATTTTACTCCAGTATTAGTGGAGTGGTAACCACATCTGTAACTAATGTATGCAGTTTAAAGTGTATAAATGAGTGCATAGGGCTAAGGTTGGACTACTGTGTGTGTTTGAGGTTTTCTTCCTTTGACTTACATAAACAAATATGTTTCTATGTTCTCCTGGCCCAATATTTAGCAATTAAGTTCTTTGGGTTTTAACATTTGTTTCTCATATGTTTTGGGAACTATTAATGAGTAGTTGACTTTTTTAATACAGTTTGATTGTCTGTGAATTAGTGTCTTCGTTTTGTGTTGTGTTTGGGCAGATGAAACTCACGCGGAAACTCTTCATTTCTTGGTTATACAAACAGGGCTTTTTCCTCCCTCAGGCTGCCTGCAGAAGGTACTTTGTATCTCAGGGATTGTGTCAAACTAAGCTGAAACTGGTGGATGAGATGAGAAGCTATTGGGAGGGTAGGAACAGCAACAGACAGCTAGACAAGCACATGTGAACCAACAACACTAGCTTGGTTTGTACAGAAACAAGCAACTCCGAGGTGAGAAACAGTGGAAGTCGATGCATGATGCTTGAAAGCTCAACAGAAAATAAATAATAGCAACGGGTTATATAATCAAAGATATTAAATGCCAGTTTATTAGACACCACTTGAATGCTGCCCGTCCTGGATAAGGGCCAGCAAAACTTGGCTGCTGTGCTTGAAGATTTTATAAGGGCTAATTCAGACCAGTTCAAGGAACCGGGAGGCATGTGCACACATCTCCACTGCACAGCCAGGCTGAACTCACCAAAACACCTTTCTGAATGTTACATACTGTATGAAGACAGGCTAAAAAAGTTGGGGCTGTTCAGCCTGGAGAAGAGAAGCTGCGTGGAGACCTCAGAGCAGCTTCCAGTGGCTGAAGGGGGCCTACAGGGTTGCTGGGAAGGGACTCTTCATCAAGGACTGCAGTGACAGGACAAGGGGTGATGGGTTCAAACTGAAACAGGGGAAGTTCAGGTTAGATATAAGGAAGAAGTTCTTTACTGTGAGGGTGCTGAGGCACTGGAACAGGTTGCCCAGAGAAGTGGTAAAT